TGATGAATACCAAAGTTGTTCAACTCATTAATATCTACAACTTTTATTTTAGTCAATTTGTCATTTGACAAAATTTGAACCTTTTAAATTTGAAATTTTGAAAAACGATAAGTTCGAACCAAAATTTGAGACCCAAATTGATTTCAACATAAAAAGTGATGAATACCAAAGTTCAACTCATGAATATCTACAACTTTTATTTTGGTCATTTCTTCATTTGACAAATTCTTAGCACACATTGTTCACTAATCTTACACATGTGTCATATAGTTTATAAAACCTTATGAGAGATGTGTCACATTTGTGAACAATGTCGTTACCACTTTGTCATATGAAGAAATGACCAATACAAACGTTGTAGATCTTGATGAGTTATTCAACTTTGGTATTTATCACTTTTTCAGTTGAAACCATTTGCGGTACCAAAATCTTGTCTGAAGTTGCATTTTTTTGAAATTCAAAATTTAAATTGCTCAAACTTTTCATATGTATATATTGACAAAACCAACAAAATAAATTGATAGAGAATGATTTTATAAAATTTTAGGAAAAAAAATCATCAGATTTGAAGTTAGTATGAGGAAGAAAAACTAGTTACAAAGTTGACCCACAAATTAAAAAAAGAAATAACACTGTTCACTACGATCATGTAAGGATCATCTAGAACAGTGTGATTTCTCTTTTTAATCTGTGGGTAAACTTTGTAACTAGTTGTTCTCCCTCATACTAACTCCAAATGTGATGGTTTTTTTCTAAAAATTTCTAAAATCATGCTTCAGCATTTAGGTTTGATCAAACTTGGATGTGACAATGTTTTACACATTTTAAAATTTAAAATTTGAAATTTGACAAGTTCAAACCAAATTTTAAAACCCTAAATGATTTCATATGCAAAAGTGATAAATACAAAAGTTGTTCAAATCATCAAGATCTACAACTTTTATTTTGATCATCTTGTCATTTGACAAAATTTGAACCTTTCAAATTTGAAATTTTAAAAAATGACAAGTTCAAACCAAAATTTGAGACCCAAAATGATTTCAACATAAAAAGTGATGAATACCAAAGTTGTTCAACTCATTAATATCTACAACTTTTATTTTGGTCATCTTGTTATTCGATAAAATTTGAACCTTTTAAATTGGAATTTTTAAAAAATAACAAGTTCGAACCAAAATTTGAGACCCAAAATGATTTCAACATAAAAAGTGATGAATACCAAAGTTGTTCAACTCATTAATATCTACAACTTTTATTTTAGTCATATTATCATTTGACAAAATTTGAACCTTTCAAATTTGAAATTTTGAAAAACGACAAGTTCGAACCAAAATTTGAGACCCAAATTGATTTCAACATAAAAAGCGATGAATACCAACGTTGTTCAACTCATGAATATCTATAACTTTTATTTTGGTCATTTCTTCATTTGACAAATTCTTAGCACACATTGTTCGCTAATCTTACACATGTCTCATATAGTTTATAAAACCTTATGAGAGATGTGTCATATTTGTGAACAATGTCGTTACCACTTTGTCATATGAAGAAATGACCAATACAAAAGTTGTAGATCTTGATGAGTTATTCAACTTTGGTATTTATCACTTTTTCAGCTGAAATCATTTGGGGAACCAAAATCTTGTCTGAAGTTGCATTTTTTTAAACTCAAAATTTAAATTGCTCAAATTTTTCATATGTATATATTGACAAAACCAACAAAATAAATTGATCGAGAATGATTTTAGAAAATTTTAGGAAAAAATCATCAATTATCATGTTATACGTTTACAAATAGAAAAACATGCATGCCTTTATCACAAAACGGTGAGTGCTCTAGTGGTAACGCACCAACATATCTTGCAGCAGGTCGTGGGTTCGAATCTCCCTGCGTGCGCTATTTTTTGGCAAAAAAAATGGAGGCGGAAGGATGCAGGTCCACCTGGACCGTGTGGGCCACGCTGCCCCACTTGTTCACCGCCACGTCCTCAGGTTGAGACCCGCTAGTGGGACCGCATCGCCACGTCTTCGAGGTTGGGACCCAATGGTGGGACCACATCGCCATGTCCTCGAGGTGGGACCTGCTGGTGGGACCATGGCGCCATGTCCTCGAGGTGGTACACGAGCCAAACGATCTATGACGATTTAGTTTTGTTGTTTTATGACAATTCTTTTGTTTTCGTCATTATTCTAAGTGCCAAAGCTCCGTCACTTGTTACTTATGACGAAGCTGGAAATTTCGTCATAGAAAGCGCTTGTTCTGTGATGAAATTTGTAAGCGTCACGACTGAATCGTCATTGATGAACACATTTCTAGTAGTGTAAAAACCTATATAAATTATGTTATGATTAATAATATGGTTTTACAAAATTTGTTAGTATCATTAGTATATGAGTTGCTAAGGAAACAATATTTTTGATGAAACATAACATATATATTCATTGATCATGTATGCCCACACAACGTGTATGCTTAATTAGTCAAATCTTAATATAGTAGCACAGACAGAAGTGGGTAATGCACAAATATATGTGTTGTATGGTTAATTAAAAGGAACTAATATGGGGATTATATTTTATATTTAGATTTGAGAGCGAATTTAATAATTTTTTAATAATAAGATGAAAATTGGGTTACATAAATTATCTACTGTAATAGGAGTACGCGGGCAGTTAGACGTAAATTGAGATCTGCGTTAGATCATGTTTCTTAACGGTATATGTGGGTAGTTTAAATATAGAGTCATGAGTTATAATATGTTGTTTCACACAATAGCGGAGGTGGGTAATTATTTAGAAAATATAAGAGATCCAATACATATTATTATCAATGGTGATTAGATTATACCAAATTGATGGTCACAAGTTTTAGAGTTTTGTGAGAATATCTAGGATTTTTGTTTTCCTACTGTGTCTCGCCAGGATTAAAGTGGAAGCTCCATTAAGGACATCTAGTTAGCATCTCTGGTATTTATTTTTTTAGCATGGTATGTATTTAGTTGAAATCTAATCTTAAGGTATATAGAATCTTATTGCATCCCTTTCTGTGACTCCACGAATTATAGTTTAGCTTTCAACCTTTAATCAAGTTGTACATTTTTTCCACATGTTAAGTAGAAACTCTAGTTTTTTATGTTTTATTCAAAATTTATTTTTTATTAAAAAGAGTTTATATCCTAGTTCTATTGTTTTCGTATGTTAATTAAGTTGAAACTCACATTGCACCTTAGCACCGAACTTATTGAATTATTATATCACATAATTATATGTGTATAGTATTGTTTCATATATCATAGAGTGCTAAAAATAAATTACCAATATGGATATGACATGATGTTTCAATTAAAATATATAAAATTATCTAAAATAACAACTTATGAAATTGATTATTATGGAGTATTAATATAATTTAAAGTGTATTGTCGGTGTTATGTTATTGCTATGTGGTTTGTTAATTAAACATTTTCCAAGCTTATAACATATTAAAATAAATAATTATCCTAATGTATATATGTTTACTTGGTATAGATGGTCAAACATAGCATCATCGTTTTTTAATTTCACAGTTGTGGAAGTTTGTAATTTAAAAATATATATGTCTCGTGCATGCCGTATTGATGTTGATTTTTTGTAATAGCATATATTAGCATTTACATATAAATTTGAGAGACGTGGGGTAATTTAGATGCAATGTGAGGGGTTATTACAATTATATTTCATAATGGCAAAATGGGTAATTTAGATACAAATTTAGGGGTTATTTTGAATCACTTTTCATAATGATTAGTGTGGGTAATTTATATATAAATTTAGGGGTTCTTTTTTAATTATCTTTTATAATGGCGGAGGTGGGTAATTTAGATGTGAAATTAGGGGTTACTTTATGTATTTTTATAATGATAGTGGTGGGTAATTTTTTACAAAATTACAACAGATCCAATAGCTATTATCGGAGATGATGATTAGAGTCTACCAAATTAAAGACCGGATGTTTCTGATTATTATGAGAATTTCTAGGATTTATCTTTTTTCTTAGCGCGTCTCATGAGAGTTAACGCGGTGCCTCTAATTAGTAATAGTTACAACAGATCTAATGGTTATTATCGGAGATGATGATTAGAGTCTATCAAATTAAAGACCGGATGTTTCTGATTATTGTGAGAATTTCTAGGATTTATCTTTTTTCTTAGCACGTCTCGTGAGAGTTAACGTGGTGCCTCTAATTAGTAATAGTAAGATAAGATAGCACGGAGGGACTAGCTTACAGTCCATTTTAAGCTATTCAATCACATAGTTTATAAAAAGCTATTAACTGACGTTCTCAGGCTCTCAGCTAATGCGCCTTATAAAAATTTTAGCTGATTCAAACGGAGCCTATGTATAGTTTCAAATCATGATCAACTCGATGACTGGCTGGAATGGGACCAATTAAAGACGATCGTGATCCCTTGAGACTTGAGAGGTGCCGAGGCAGCACAGTACCGTACCGTCTCAACCTCCTTCCATTGACTTCTGTTGGTGTAACCCTGACAAAGGCGTTGCTGAAGACATGTTTCAGAGCAAGGGAGTGCGTGGAAGGCGGGAGAGTTTCAGTTTGAAACTCGGATGCGCAGGAGCTGGTGAAGCGGAGCGGTGACCGCGCCCACGATCTTGGCGGTTCTGAAGAGTGTGTTTTACAGTAACTTGTATCCATGTTTTAGGAGGTGTGTTTCTGTAAAAATGTGTCATTAGCTCCATGTATTAGTTGTTGGGACATTAGTGTGTGTGTTATCTCTCCGGTAAGCCGGTTAGGCACATCGTGTTGTGTGAACTCGAAAGCGAAAAGGGGCGCTGTCCACCCTGTCGCCATGGTGGCGGTTGCCTGAAACCTCTGTGTGTTCATCGTGTTCTTGCGTTCCAATTCTTGATCCATCCACCGATACAACGCTTGATCGTGATCCTCGTGCAACACGTGGTATCAGAGCCATCGATCATTCGCGGAGCCACTCTAGATCATAGCCATGTCCATAGTTGCCAGCGGCAGCGGCGGCGGCGGGGAGGCACGCCGGATCTACCCTACCCTGACGAGCACCAACTACACCAGCTGGTGTATACATGTTCAAGCCATCATGGAGGATCGGGAGGAGTGGGAGATCGTGGAGCCAGCTGCGGATGCGACGGTACCAACCGCAGCCGAGGCAGAGAAGATCAAGGCGAAGGACAAGAAGATCAAGGCAAATTTGCTTCAGTGTATTCCCGATGATATACTGATGCAAGTTGCCAAGAAGAAAACCGGCGAGGAAGTCTGGGATTCCCTGAAGGCGCGCTTCGTTGGCGCAGATCGGGTCAGAGATGCTCGGTTGCAAACATTGAAGAGTCAATTCGATGCAGTCGAGATGAAAGAAGATGAATCCCTTGATCAGGTTGTGGGGAAACTGACAGCTCTGTCAGTCAAGTGCAGCAGCTTGGGGGGGAGCATTGGTGATGCAGATCTGGTGAAGAAATTGTTTGATATAGTGCCCGATCGGTACCTCACCGTCGTGGCAGGTATCGAGCAATTTTATGATCTGAAGACCCTAGCTTTCGATGAAGCAGTGGGGCGCCTGAAAGCCTTTGAAGAGTGAACACGGCGGGGCAGCAGTGGAGCTCGATCAGAGAAGGGTCAGGTCTTGCTCACACAGGCAGAATGGGAAGCAAGACAGAGAAATGCTGGTGGTGATTCCTCAGGCAAGGGGAAGAGAGGAGATGGCAGTTGGCGAGGCCAAGGCAGTGGCCGTGGAGGAAACGGCGGTGGCCGAGGCAGTGGAGCTGATGCTGGCAAAGATGGCACTGGTAAGCGCGATAAAAGTCATATTAAGTGCTTTAAGTGTCATGGTTATGGGCATTATGCAAATAGATGTCCTGGTGAAAAGAAAAAAGAAGAAGCACACCTGGTGAAAGCTGGAGAGAAGGAACCAATAGTTCTGTTGGCTGAGAGGCTATTGCCGGATCAGCTACAGTACCAGCTCCACAGTCAGACTCAAAACACAGACAGCAGAATGCAGAGAGTGTTTTTGAATGAATTGAAGGTAGTGCCTGAGTTACATTTATCTGATGGGGGTGGACCATCATGTGGTGTTTGGTACCTAGATAATGGAGCAAGTAATCACATGACAGGTGATGTACTGAAATTCAGAGATCTTGATCATGCTGTGTTGGGTAAGGTAAGATTTGGTGATGACTCTACAGTTGATATTTAGGGTAGGGGTACAATTGTGTTTGAGGGAAAACATGGAGATCATTGGGTGCTTTCTGATGTCTATTATATTCCAAAACTGAGAAGCAATCTTGTTAGCTTAGGACAATTGACTGAAACTGGCCACAGAATTATTCTTGATGATGATTTGCTAGAAGTTTGTGAGAAGCACTCAGATAGGATGATCATGAGGGTCCCTAGAACACTGAATAGGTTGTACAAGATTGAGTTGAAAACTATGGAACCTAGATGTTTGATTGCAGACATTAATGATCAAGCCTGGCTTTGGCATGGAAGATTGGGACATGTGAATTTCAGGGCATTGAGTCAATTGGTCGGGAAGGGGATGGCTAGTGGGGTGCCTGAGATAAGACATCCTGAGCAAGTCTGCAGTGACTGTTTGACAGCCAAGCAGACAAGAATGTCATTTCCCAAATCAACCAGTTGGCATGCAGATGAGAAGCTCACTCTGGTGTATGTGGACTTGTGTGGACCTGTGACACCAGCCACTGCAGGAGGGAACATGTACTTCATACTACTTGTTGATGACCATACAAGATGGATGCAGGTGTACCTGCTGAAATCCAAAGATCAAGCAGTTGATTACTTTGCAAAATACAAGGCTAAAGTGGAAAACTTCACTGGTTGTAGAATCAAAACTCTCAGATCAGACAGGGGAGGAGAGTTTCTTGCAGGAGTGTTTGCAGGGATTTGTGAACAAGCAGGAATCAAAAGGCAACTCACAGCCCCATATACACCACAACAGAATGGTGTAGTGGAGAGAAGAAATAGGACTGTGATGGAAATGGCCAGGTCATTGCTAAAAAGCATGATGGTTCCAGGAAGATTGTGGGGGGAGGCAGTTAGGCATGCTGTGTATCTCTTGAACAGGCTGCCTACCAAAGTGATGGGGGATGTCACTCCTTATGAATCATGGACAGGAAGAAAACCTTCTCTTGGGCATCTAAAGATCTTTGGCTGCACTACACATGCAAGGAACAGTGCACCACACATGAAGAAATTGGATGACAGAAGCAAAGCTCTAGTTTATCTTGGTGTTGAAGAAGGCAGTAAAGCTCATAGGTTGTTTGAGCCTAGTACAAACAAGATCATAGTGAGCAGAGATGTTGTCTTTGAGGAATCAACAATGTGGAATTGGGGTGTAGCTGACAAAGCTGAGAATTCTGTTGACTTTGTAGTAGAAAATGAAGTTGAAATAGAAAGTTTTTCTGTGGGAGGTAGTGCAAATGTTGATGAGAATCAGTAGGATGGTGAGGGATCAGCCAGCAGGGAAACAGATGACATCAGTGACGGTTCTGGTACAGCACCAGACATGCCACAGTCACCTGTTTCAGGATCAGGTTCAGTTCAGATAAATCAACCTAAACCTGTTGGTGCAGAACCTGTGACACCACAAAGTCATGGCTCAAATGGGAATGTAGCTACACCAAGTTCTGGGAGTAGTAGTGAACCAGCAAGATTCAGAGACCTGAATGATGTGTACAATGATACTGTGGAAATTGCACTTGCTGATTCAGAAGATGAGCTAGAAGATGCAGATGTGCAAGCTTTGCTGGTTGAGACTGAGGAGCCTACCTATTTCAAAGAGGCTGCAAGTCATCATGAGTGGATAGATGCCATGGATAAAGAGATGGAATCAATTGAAAAGAACAAAACTTGGGAGCTGGTTAAGCTGCCAATTGGCAAGAAACCCATTGGTCTCAAATGGGTGTATAAGCTAAAGAGAAACTCTGATGGAGAGGTGGTGAAATACAAAGCAAGATTAGTTGCTAAGGGATATGTGCAAAAACAAGGAGTTGATTTTGATGAAGTGTTTGCTCCTGTGGCTAGGTTGGACACAGTGAGATTTATGTTGGCACTAGCAGCTAATCTGGGTTGGAAAGTTCACCATTTAGATGTTAAGTCTGCTTTTCTTCATGGGGAACTAGAAGAAGAAGTCTATGTCACAACCAGAAGGGTATGTTGTGAAGGGTAAAGAGCAAGATGTGTTTAAGTTAAGCAAGGCTCTTTATGGACTGAAACAAGCACCAAGGGCTTGGAATGTCAGATTGGACAAAAGTCTGAAAAAGCTTGGTTTTAGCAGGTGTTTGTGTGAGCAGGCTGTTTATATCAGAGGGGAGGGAGTAAATGCAGTCATTCTTGGTGTTTATGTGGATGACTTAATAGTTACTGGAGGAAATGCAAAAGCTGTTGAGTCATTCAAAACTGAGATGATGACTGAGTTTGAGATGACAGATTTGGGGCTGTTGTCTTACTACTTGGGAATAGAAGTTGATTAGAGGGCTGATTACATCACTGTGAAGCAATCAGGATATGCTAAGAAGGTACTTGAACAGTTTGGTATGCAAGGTTGCAATTCAACCAAAATTCCAATGGAACCAGGTAGCAAACTTGATGCTGACAAAGGGGGTGTACCAGTGGATTCAACTGAGTACAGAAGGATGATAGGTTGTCTCAGATACTTATTACACTCTAGGCCAGATCTTTCATACTCAGTGGGTGTGGCTAGCAGATTCATGGAAAAACCCACAGTGATGCATGTGAAGGCAGTGAAACAGATCCTGAGATATTTGAGTGGAACTATGGAGTATGGACTGGTTTATGTCCAAGGTGGTAGTGTTGGTCAGTTAGTGGGCTACACTGACAGTGACCATGGGTCTGATACTGTTCAGAGAAGAAGCACAGGTGGAATGGCTTTCTACCTAGGAGAAAATCTGATCACTTGGAACTCCTTCAAGCAGAAGTCAGTGTCCTTGTCATCATGTGAATCTGAGTTCAAGGCAGCCACAGCAGCAGCACAGCAAGCATTGTGGCTCAGAAACTTGTTCAGTGAGGTGTTGAAGCAGAAGCCAGCAGCTGTAACACTTTTTGTTGATAACAACTCAGCTATTGCTCTCATGAAGAATGCTGTGTTTCATGGAAGAAGCAAGCATATCGAGATCAAATACCATTTCATTAGAGAGTGCATAGAAAGAGGTGAGATCATAGTGAAGAGAGTGAGTACAAATGAGCAGAAGGCTGATGCTCTAACCAAACCACTGCCAATGGGAAAATTGTCAGTGATGAGGCATTTCCTCGGTGTGAGAGACTTGAGCCTTTGTCAGGCTTAGGGGGGAGACTGTTGGTGTAACCCTGACAAAGGCGTTGCTGAAGACATGTTTCAGAGCAAGGGAGTGCGTGGAAGGCGGGAGAGTTTCAGTTTGAAACTCGGATGCGCAGGAGCTGGTGAAGCGGAGCGGTGACCACGCCCACGATCTTGGCGGTTCTGAAGAGTGTGTTTTACAGTAACTTGTATCCATGTTTTAGGAGGTGTGCTTCTGTAAAAATGTGTCATTAGCTCCATGTATTAGTTGTTGGGACATTAGTGTGTGTGTTAACTCTCCGGTAAGCCGGTTAGGCACATCGTGTTGTGTGAACTCGAAAGCGAAAAGGGGCGCTGTCCACCCTGTCGCCATGGTGGCGGTTGCCTGAAACCTCTGTGTGTTCATCGTGTTCTTGCGTTCCAATTCTTGATCCATCCACCGATACAGCGCTTGATCGTGATCCTCGTGCAACAACTTCAAAGTCGACCAAGACAGATAAGAGTTATGAACCATATATAGGTGAGTGGTGACCCTCTCTCTCTCTGTGTGTCTACACACACGCTCACACCTCTAGTAGTTTTCCTCTAAAAAGATATATTTAGCTAGTTAGTTTGGAAAGCAATACAAGGTAAATGTTGACGATTAATTCATAATTGTGAAACACCGTTCTAATGGTAAATATGCATTCATAATTGTTGATGCTATTAGAACAACAAATTTATAATCTAAAAAAAACGAACAACAAATGTATATATATGTAACCATTGATGTCGGAATTCAGAATTATTTGTATACGAAATTACAAAAAAATTGAATATGAGTCTATGATTGGTTAAGATTCCTTATCATCATCACCGGTTAGTATCAATTTCAATCCTTAATGAAGCAGATTTAGTTTGGACAAACAGTTCTAGGGACATCTATCACACATGATGTGGATGGACCAGATTCGATGCAGTGATGACCGGTTGATGGATCCAAAATATTTTCTCACTATTAAAGATAGATGATATTCCAACATATTAATAGTGAGTAAATCCATTGCCTTTCACTATTAAATATTTTCTCATAGTGAGTCCTTGGATCATAGTTTTGGACCAGAAGCCTTTCACTATTAAAGATAGATGATATATTCCCAAAATCTTAATTACAAAATTACATCAATCTAGATGAACAATGGAAATATAAACCAACATAAATCACAATGTCGAACATTTCATAAATGTACATCAATTTTGTATGAACACATGACCAGTATTTTGTTATGTTGTTAAAATCCAATAACATTTCCCTGCATTTATTAAAAATATCCATTGTGACACTCATTGTTAAAAATGGAAATGTATACATGGAAGTTACTTGCCATGCAAGATTCTAGAGCTAAGTTCACGGCAAAGAAAAGAAAAGACTAGAAAAATATAGGAGGCTTTGGAGACTAAAGGTATAGATATTGCCATACATATGGATAAGGTGATGACAAAGTGTAGAATAATATTGTAGACGGTGGATATATAGCTCACCATGATATATGGTGAGTGTAGAATATTCTTGAACTAGGATATTTTGTGGGGAGTGTTTGGATGGTTGTCGCTCGGCACCAGTCCAATGAATAATATGTAGGAGTGCACTCCACCTCCAAGGTGACAAAGAAACAAAAGTCATTTGAAGAATGGCATAAGTAGCCACAATGGAGAGTAATAAGTAGCCACCTTCATGGATTGTCTATTTGACTGCTCATGTAGTTGTGTACTGGTGTGTATTATTCCACTTTGACCTAGTGCTACTGTAGTGATTAGTGACTAGTGAAGTGTGAAAATCCAAAATGTTTTTGCCAAGTGCATAAATGCTGCTGTGATATTTGCTATCTTTTTCCATTTTCAAATGGCTGCAATTTGTGATTATTAACAACTTCTACGGTGATCTAAAATTATATTTTAGATATGACTGCTCTTAATATGAAATATAGTTACTGAATTGTTGTAGGTTTAAGTTATCTGAATGAGATAAATTAAAGATAGAATAAAGGATTATAATTTTGTTGAAATATCTATAGGTGGGTGATCTTGAGAGGCACAATCACCTGTTCTTTTGACATCTTAAAATTCACATGTAGCGACCAGATGTGGAGAGGAGGTGCAGATATAGTTGTTTCTTAAAGTTATTATGGTTATTATTAATGTGGTCCTATGTTGTATTTTTTTCCATCCTTCTATAGTACGATATGCTGGTGATTTTGAATTCTGTCTTGGTAACATCAAAGTAAATTGAGACAAGTTACTTGGTGATCTTCCAAGTCAGCGTATCATTAAGTAGATATTTCTTTTCTTAACGATACGCTGGTTCCATGAAGAGTATTAGATATTTTACTTGCAGGGAATGCATCCAACATGCATTCGCCAAGCATATGTGTTGGTGATCTGTACCTAGGGTAGTCAGTGATGTGTACCTAGGTACCATAGCCACAGCCAGGGTACCTCACCGGTGATATGTACCTAGGGTAGTCTGTGATGTGTATCTAGGTACCACAGCCATAGCCAGGGTACCTCACCGTTGATATGCACCTAGGTACCTCGCCACAACCATAGCCAGGGTACCTCACCATGTGGACATGTACTCAGTGTACCTCACTGCATGGACAACAGCCCAAGCCCAAGAGGGCTACACATACTAGAAGCCCAAACCAGTCGGGGTACCTCATCTACTTGGTGGAAGGCATAGCAAGATGTACATGGAAACAAACTCTATCTGATAGATTTTCTAGTAACGAACTAGGAAAACCGACATGCAAACCGATTGAGACTCTATTTATAATCCCCGACCCTCTTTGGTTGCTCCTGCCTTCTACATCAGCGGCATCTTCCTCGCGCTACATATTTGTTTTGTAGAATGAAATGGATTGATCCATCATCATCAGATTTCTCATAATAAGTTAATAATTAGTACTAGTATGGTTTGATTATTCAAACCACACCCTATATATTTTTCAGTTGCAGCCATGCACTCATGCCAGGGTGCCACTGTTGGACTACTAGGTCTTCTCGCTAATCATACGAGTTACCAGGGACACCCAACTATTCACTTCTACACAGACAACAGGCTGCATACAATGGTTATTAATTTGGACTTGTTTCTGTTATTATGACATAAATGATAAATAAAATGGAACGGTAGAAACTAGCTAGATTCGCATGCATGAAATTGATGGCTAGTTACAGAAAACTACGTAGCCACATGCAGGCTCATCAGTTGGCCGCCGGCAGCCGGTGGCTCGGCGGGATGGCCGCGAAGGAGATAACCTTCTGCGGCTGGGTGAAATTAATCACGTACACCACCGCCCTGTACTTGTAGTCGTCACCGTCGCCGGGGGGTGCCGCGGATGGACGCTAAGATGATGAGTTCGTAGTTGCGGGTCATGCTGGTGCATTGGCCGACGCCCTGCGCCTTGGCGCTCTCCACCTTTTCGAAGTGCATCACGGTATGCTGCTGGTCCACCGCCCAGCTGCCGAGGTTCTGGATGAAGGGGTCCTCGGGGTGAGCCACCGTCCTCCATGGGCAGAGGTAGGGGTCGGCGGTAGCCGGCGACGGGGCAAAGGTGCAGACCACGGCAGCGGCGGCGACAGCGAGGAGGAGGCTGCTGCTGCAGGTATTCATGGTCGTCATGGCTTCTACTAGTTGTGGCCGTGATCAGGGAATGAAGCTGGAGGGCACTTAAATAGTCCTGCTCCAAGACAAAACAAGGTATATGGTGCATGCATGCACACAGGAATCAATTGTATCCATATATCCGTCTTGCTGTCTACTATTGGATTCAAATCAATGCTGATGTGTGTGATACTGTGGTTTAGCCATCAGTTAAAAGCAATCAATTAGTCGGATGCATTTCCAGGTAAATGCTAATAGGGGATTCGATTTTTTTTAGATATGCCTACTATTAGGAAGAAATTAAAAGATTATTAGGATATTATTATGGTTATTCAAATTTCAGCATAAACGGTAGGTGTTGATAGAGCAGTAACATTTACTAACTTCTACTGCGCTCTCCATCCCAACATTGTATAATGTGGATGAAATTTAATAAAATGATTCCTAAATAACAAGTACTAGCAAGCATAAATACATAATATGGATTAAACTTAATGAAAAGGTGTTTAAATAACACGTACCAGCAAGCATAAATTGATTTATATAATGTGGATCAAATTTAATCAATATTTGTTATTTTCACCAAAATGACCCAGTTAAGCACATAATCAGGGCCCAATAAGGTGTATTTCCATACATGAAACAGTGTCATACCGGGCATAAGTGCATTTTCTTACATTAAAGGTATTTTGGTCATTTTGTGTGTTAGTTGACCGTGTTAGCCTTCAAAACTAACGGTAATATCATATAGAGAATCTCCTACTTATATATACTTACATATATATATATATATATATATATATATATATATATATATATATATATATATATATATATGGAGAGTATATTTAGTAGCCAGCTATAAAATAAGTTATTCTGTAGCCACCTCTATTTACAATAATTTTATATATTAATTTACGATAATGTCAATACATATTTACAATAATTGGGTTATTATAACACATAAGAATATTTACCATAACGTTATAATAAACCACTTAGTAAGGAGTTACTATAATCTCGTAAATTAACATAGTAATTATCATAACTCAAAGTGACTACAGAATAAGTTATTTTGTAGCCAGCTACATGGTAGTATATATATAGGGAGAGTATATTCAGTAGCCAGCTACAAAATAAGTTATTCTGTAGCCACCTCTATTTACGATAATTTTATATATTAATTTACGATAATGTCAATACATATTTACGATAATTGGGTTATTATAACACATGAGAATATTTACTATAACGTTATAGTAAACCACTTAGTAAGGAGTTACTATATATATATATATATATATATATATATATATATATATATATATATATATATATATATATATATATATATATATATATATATATATATATGGTGGTGGTGAGTGGTGACCCTCTGTGTAGCAGTGCCATACATATTTACCTTCAATATACTATTATATTAATTAGTTTTCCTCTAAAATGATATATTTAGCTAGTTATTTTGGCAGGCAATGAAAAGTGAATATATCGATGATCAATTCCTAATTCAGAAATAGTGTTACGCAATAGTTAATGTGCATTCATAATTTTTTAATGCTATATAGAATAGTTAATTTAGTTTAGGCCCTATTTTTGCATGTCTCCGGCTCCCCTTGCTGTAATGCGTGGAGTCAGCAAAAAACAGTGCCTCCTAGAGCCGCCCGAAACTCTACCAAACGGAGCCTTATATTTAGATATATATGTAAGCACTGTTATAATTCAGAATTATTGTATATAGAATTACAATTAGATAATGGAAAGAGTATCCGTCTTCATCCCCTTGAAGAGGAATCAGACCGCATTATTACAATTCAACAACTCTGGTTTGACCAAGTTGTTATAACGTACAAGACCAACTCAAGATCCGATTCTAAACAAAAGGTCATCCATTGGACACAAAGAGACTTATTGTTGTGGTCTCCAAACACTACCAGAACCCAGAATTGCCTTGAGGGCTGAGAATTTTGTTGAGTGCCAAATATGAAACCGCCAAGAAAAGTACAGTTTTCTTAGCGATTTACATAGACCTCCAAGAAAATATGTATTCCTTGAGATTTGACGACGTAAACCGCCAAGGAATATTGATGTTTCCTTTGCGGTTTCTTAGCACCTCCAAGGAAATATTCCTGGGCAGTTACTTAGCACCTCCAAGGAAATTACACATTTCCTTGAGTGTACTTTTAAACAGTCAAGTAAATAAAATGGCCATTTTTTTAGTGTTCGTTATTCATAACTGCCAAGGAATTGTGTATTATGGCAAGCATTTTTTTGCTGCCAGTATGCATTTCCTTGAGGGCCAACAACCTCCAAGGAAATCACAATTATTACTTTGGTGATCAATGATAGCCAAGGAAAACCACAATTTCCTTGAAGGTTAAAGGCAACCAAGGAAACAACTATTACCTTGATAGCCTAGATAATTTCCTTGGATGTTCTGGCCTCAAGAAAAATAATTTACTTGGCGGTTTGAACATTTTCTTATCCCTTTGGCAAATTAGAAAGTCTTAGTTTCCATGGCAGCCAACCTCAAGGAAATAATCCTTGAGTGCTAAAACCATCAAGGAAACTAATTTCCCTTATCCTCTATCCTTAACGGATTATGCTTGACGGTTGGTGGCCAAGGATCATTTCCTTGGTGGTTTTGGCACTCAAGGTAATTTAGGATTGTGGTAGTAGTAAAAGTTCAGCAGTGCCCCACCCTGAACGCTTGTTCATCCTCACTACAAATAAGTGTGAGTTTATATTATGATCGGTTAAGATTCCTTATATTATCACCATCACTGGTTAGTATCAATTCAATCCTTAATGAAGAGGATTTGGACAAATAGCTCTAGCTAAGGTCATCTATCACATGATGTGGATGGACGGGATTCAATCGATGAAGTGATGGATCAACGTTCATCTAAAGACAAGAAAGCGTGTGGCCAGGCTGCCCACACGGCGCGCCACGTCGCCGGCCGTTCCCGACCGTTCGATCGATCGACGCGCAATGATCCGGCTCAGATCGGCGGGCGCGGTCATTTTACTGAAAAACCCCTTATGTTTTTGGGAAATCAACCCAGCGCTCGAGGTCCTCTCGAAATATTTTGTAAATAACACCTCGGATAATTTTCAAATCAACCCGCAGCCCGTAAGCGGATGAGCTCCGGATTTTTGCAAAAAAACCTTCATTTTATCAAAATCAACCCGCACTCCGAGAGACACTCTCAAATGATTTTTTCAAAACCTCCTCAGATTTTTCTCAAATCGAAATCTGGGACCCCCTTGATTATATCTTTTTTCCCAAAAATACGTGTGGCCGATGGCCCACGTAGCAAGTATGGGCGCCTTCAAGAACTAGTTATGTAACAAAAAGCAAATAGTAGACACCAGCTCCTTGTGACGCAAAAACAAAACACGTCTGTAATATGTAATCACAGAAGCATCTAGGCAAAATGTGTCTATAATATGTTGGCTCGGGTAAAATATACGTTCCGGCCCACACATACCACAAACACGGCTCAACAAAACACGATCTATAATATATGAGCATATCACAGACCTTCTTAAAAAATCATGTGCATCACTTGTAGCTAGGTCATGGACCCAAAAATATTATCAATTGTGGTGCACCACGAGCTCATGTCCGCATCAATCCTCTCGCTGCTCCACCCCTCTCGCAGCCTCTCTCTCGTCCCTCGCGTCTCACCTCTCTCGGTCTCTCGTCTCCCGTCACCCCTCTCTCCTCTCTCCTCTACCCCCTCTCTGCCAGATCCTCCTCTTCTTCTAAGGCTCAAGCCACTGCCCCTTGTCCAACGGCGCGACAACTGGCCCCTCCTCCTCTGCGCCACCCCTCCTCTCCTTTCCTCTCCTAATCTAGATCTACAAGGGTTGGTTCCTCTGCACTGGTGTCTAGATCGCCCTCTAGCCCTACCAAGGACGACACATGGCCCCCAGCCACCTAGTGGCAGTGAGCACTCTCGGCCGACAGTGGGGCACGAAGACGAGGGTTGCGACGGCGGTAGGTTTTAACTATTGTGAGAAAGTTTAGATAAGCCTAATTCACTCCTCCCCTCTTGGGCATCTTTATCCTTTCGCACTCCACATAAATATCTTAGTTCTAGAATATTCAACACTTCACCATATATGTCATGGTGACCTATATATCCACCATCCACATTATTCCACACTTTGCCATCATCTTATGCATAATATATATACATGTAGTCTCCGAAGCCTTCTAGCTTTTCTAGTCTTTTCTTTTCTTTGCCATGAACTTAGCTCTAGGATCTTGCTTGGCAAGGAGCTTCCCTGTATACATTGCTATTTTTAACAATGAGTGTCACAATGGATATTTTTTAATAAATGGAGGGGGAATATTAATGGACTTTAAGAACATGAAAAGATATCGGTCATGTGTTCGTACAAAATTGATGTATCAATTGCTATATATAGTATGGGTGATTTATGAAATGTTTGATATTGTGGTTCATGTTGGTTTGTATTTTTATCGTTCGTAGATTGATGTAATTTTATAATTAACATTTTTAGTATAGATATAGATTGATGAAGATAATCCTCCTTCACACTACCAATCTCATCTGTCATGGGATCGCTGTGGTAAATGATACTCGTGTTAGTGTAGTATGGCTTCATCACTGTAGGATCCTCGCATGGATTTTGTCTAGCAACCATATTCTTAAAATTCTTTTCCCACCCATGAAAGTTTCCTTCAATTGAGTTCACTATCCTTGTCCAAAAAAGTAGCAGAAACATGGGTGTGCTGATAAGATTGTTGTGCTGATGATCATGTCTAGGAGGACTCGCTTCAAGATAGTGGTGTGCTGATACGGGAAGCTACAGCGACGTGGGCGACAATAAGCAGTGAGATACCACAACTATTGATTTCCTTTAGCTTGAGCTTCAAAAAATGGCCCGCAAAGTGTGTTATTAGCAAACAATGATGTCACAAGGGCTAGTAGATCTGGACTTGGACTATTCATAGGGACTAGGTTACT